GACGAAGAAGTGTTCGAAGTGGTGGAGGAAGGGCTTGGGAATATTGATCCTGCACGACGTAGTAAATGCATCTTTGCAGTGACGATTTGGAAAAGCCGTGATGATTCTCTAAACGTCCTGAACTTTCGGAAGGGATTCAGCTATCGATTTGAGAAGGTTCACTCGCTCAAGCTTTTGTACGGGAATCCTGTTGGAAGCATGCAGATTCGGGGACGACTTTGTGCAGAGCGCTTGCAAGTTTGCGGCCCTCAATTTGAACAGCAACCAGTGATTCGACGCCTCACTGATGGAGGTATTTCACAAGAAACTTCCATTCACCCAACAGCGACCGCAGAGCAAGGCTCAGCTAGGAATGCTGGAGTGACTCCCAATGCTAGTGGGGACGTTGCGGCTGTTGTGAAATCGCCATGCAAGCGCAAAGGTCGAAAGCTCGACGGGAAAGTGGACGATGCTGAAACGAGTGCTGGTCTACAACCACAAGGGACTATGAAAAAAACGCGGTACAGCTAAGGACGACTACATATTGCTGAAAAGTGGAAGCAGTCGCGCATCATGATACGTTTCGCTCGTCTGGGTGCAGGCACCGACGTCGACGGGGGAATCAATGTGTAGACAATGTAGCGTTTGGTAACCAAGCAGGGTACTGTTCGTCTGACAAGTGTTTCTAGTTTATTGAGACAAATATGCGCTGGTAAGTGCGGTCGAAGGGTAGCGGGGTCGTTGGGATTTAGTATTAGATTGCTAAAAGACGTATGACTGCGTACCTACAACGTATAACGTACGTTGTTTAAACGCTAAAGACACCGTTGCCGAAAACAATATCTCATTTCTGTGAGACTGCACGACATCGGTGGTAACTGCGGTGGTGGTTTTTTTTTTCACGCATGCATTATTTACCCCTCAGTATGCGTTGCATTACGAGGCCATTTTCCAGTCGAGGAGAAAATTCCTGAGGAATAAAATCTCGATTTCACTGGTTTTGTTGTCGTTGTTGCGTACCTACACTGGCTAAAGTCACTCGATTGTTTCTAGGTACCGTTGAGCACTGGAAGTATAAGTAAGTTGTAAAAATTTGATGTTTAAAAAACAGTACAAAGTACTGTTTTCTTGTGAATCCAAATAATGAAGTCAGAGTACTGGAAACAGTATGTATTAAGTTCGCTTGTGAACTTAAAACTCAAACTACGTACTTGTAGCACTTCTGGAGCTTCGTCGGGTAGCAGGAGGCACTCGACGGCGTCGTCCGCGGGTAGCTTTGGTATAGCCACACAAAATGATTGTTCCTCTTTCAAAATCAATTTTTAATTGCCAAGGTAAGTTTTTAGCTGGTTCCCGCCGATGCACTGCACTAAGTAGAATTCAAGCGTGTGTACCCATCGCTTCGCGTAAACTCGCTCTACGTCAAATGTCTCTCCACCTCGTCCTCTATGTGTTTGCCTTCCTCGAAATAAACCGTGACCACTCTGTGGTCGAAATGCCGGGTTTCTTCAGGCGGAGGCCGATTAGGTAGATTTTGGTTGACTCTCAATCTGTAAAATGAACCGTCGAGATTGCGTTGGAAGTTCTGGGCGTGATTTTGTCTTTTGTTTAAGGGCGCCATAGCAGAAGTTGTAGAGTGGCTTGCATCCCGCGCTATCATAGTCGAGGACATGTATAACATAAGAATCGATGTCGTTTGCAAAAAAAAAGAAAATTATGTGGTGTCCAAATCACAACACACAAACATTTACTCAACACAAATTCAACCTCACTTTTTCTATAAAATGTTTATGTTTGATTTCAAATTCTGGAACGCTGTCGTAGAGAAATTATAACTCGCAAACGAGAAACAGTGT